GCACACGGCAGCACAGACAAGCTGCCGTACGTGACGATGGGGTCGGGTTCGCTGGCGGCCATGTCCGTGTTCGAGACCAAGTGGAAGCCGCAGGCGCTGACGCGCGACGAGGCCGTGGAGCTGTGCAGCGAGGCCATCAAGGCAGGTATTTTCAACGACCTGGGTTCTGGTAGCAACGTCGATGTAGCAGTGATTACCAAGGACAAGACGACGCTGCTACGCAACTACATCCGTCCCAACGAGCGGGTGCCGAAGCTGCGCAACTACGTTTTCCCGCGGGGCACAACGGCCGTGCTCAACGAGAAAATCACCATTCGCAAAGAGGACATGGGCAACTTTGTCACCGTTCACGACTTGCCGGAACAGGCGGAGGAGACGGAGTCGATGGAGGTCGACCCATAGAGGAAAAGCCAAGCCGCAGGGTAGGTAGTTGATGGGAGAAGCACGAAACGTTCCATGGCGTGGGTGGGCAAGGAGAAATGCCATTGGTTGTGTGTGGAAGCCAGTAAGCAGCGCTCAACTCGATAGTCAGGGGCGTTTCCGGTCCTCGTTGATACTTCCACGACATTTCATCAATGCTGTAAATCCAGTGTATTACCAGTTATAATCAATTATAAATCAAAGTGGCCAAGCAAAAATGACGCGCCAACATACGAGCATCCGACCAGCATGTACTACATCGTACTCCGTGAAGATTTTGGTGCCAGTTCAAGTCGAGGTGGGTTGCGTGAAAAGCAACCACGCCACAGGGCGCGGCTTTCTCTCCAAAACGGGCTCGGTGTATTAAGCCCAGCAGTAATCAACCAGACGCTACAGTGATCCCCAGCATTCATGGTAGGGACAATGCGAGATAGTACAAAGCCATCTGTCGAATCCACAGTGGCGGCATATAATTGAAAGGAAGATACAGAACAAAAGGGCAAGCTGTCTGCACATGGCTGACCATTAGCTTTCTCAAATCCTGCCAAGCGCAGCACATGTACAGCGCCGACTGGGCACAAATGTCGGCGAGGCCAGACATGGTGCTCCAAGAAGTAGAAAGAAGAACTAAAACTAAACAATAAAGTAGTACGCTTAGGCGTCTCGTATAGTTAAATAGAGTGCGTAAATGAGAGGTAGAACTGAAACAAAGAGGGAAGCTAGAGTCCCGTAAATAGATAACTCCTGTCCATGAATCGGGGTAAAAGTCGAAGTCGAATGAAAAAATGCAGATGGCAAATAAAAATAAAAAGTAACACACAAACATTTGCAGCATAATGGTCGTACTGAAATCGTGACTGACAGAAAAGTAAGATAAAGAGGAGTAAAGGGGTATGAAAAACGACGTTTTGTTGAAGTAGGGGAGAACGAGCGTGAGAGAAATGAAAAAGTGACGGGGCACCGAAGAACGTCTCGGCAGAAACCGTAGACACGCTGCACAGGTTTTATGAGCTATGCTTGATGCCAAAGATATTTCTAGTCCGGGACTTGGACCGAGCCTTGTCGTCTTTGCTGAACTTTGGGGACTTAACAGACTCTTTGTCGTCGTTGTATTTGGATTTGTAGATCCTGTAAAGTAGTGTTAGTACGTGACGATGTCTAGAACAATCAAAGAGGTTCAAATGGTGATACGTACCAGCTGTTGCCAACCATGCTCATGCCCTTTGCTTCCGCTTGGCGGTAGAACTTGGAACTTGTCTTCAGGTTCTTCTTGCAGCCAATGCCTTGGGCATAGCAGAATCCAGCCTCGGCGAGGGCGTCCACGTCACCCCACGATCCGGCAATTTCAAAACAGCGCAGGGCGAGAGCCCGGTCTTGCTCGATGCCCCAACCATTCATGTAGCTGACGCCCAGCTCGTAAATGCTGAGGGCAAACTGGGCCTTGCGCGTCTTGCGCTCCAGTGCATCGACGTTCTTGCCCTTTTGAAGAAGAGCCTCGTCGTCAGCAATCTCAATGCTAGCGCAGTCGGCGGCCTTGCGCAGCCATTCGGCACCCTCCCTCGGGTTAGCACGCATACCCCAGCCATGACGGCACGCCAGGGCGTACAGCAGCATGCCTGTCGGGTGGCCCTGGCGAGCAGCGTGGCGCAAGTGGTAAGTCGACTCGTTCAGAAGACCCTGTTCATGAAGCGACACGGCCTTGTCGACGTGCTCTTCAGCCGGGATATCCGCGGCGGACGCCAGCGAGTGCATCGACCGAGCCTTGATAGTCGTGTTCGAGTCCGTTGTACCGCCTGTGTTTGTGGTTGTCACCGACATGGGCGTTCTCCCACGGGACGGGGGGTCTTGCGGGTGTGCAATCAACGCACGGCCTCGCGTGTCTTCGAACGACCGCCCGCCTTCGGTTGAAGGCCGGCTGGGGTTCGGAGACGGCTGGGAGGTCGGAGCCAGAATCTCCGTGCTGAGCTTAGTGCGCTCCAGGGACGGTCGTGCAAAGGATCCGGCTCCCGAGCTGGATGGGCGCGTTGGCGGCGATGGTGGCGCTTGACCGCCTAGAGAAAGCGTGAGCAAGCTGCTTGGTGCGATCATCTGCTCCAACTGGGACGAGGCTGGAGGCAGATTGTCCGCAGTCTGGTTAGCAGATCGTTGAAGCACCTTACCTCGCGGCAGAGTGAATTTGGAATAGATGTACGAAGACGCCGCGGGAAGGCTGTTATCCGGTGCGGACGACGAGGCAGCTGGTGGGTCCGGGAAGCCCTCGCTGTGCGTGCTGATCGGCGTGTTGGCAGAATCATCGGCAAGAACAAGAGAAGACTGGCTATAGGAAGTGTGACTGTCGGAAGACGCCTGGCGGGCCGGACTCTCAAGTCCTGGTGTACCAACCCGACTGAGAGGACGTGAGAAGTTAAACGAAGGACGTGGCAGCGGTGCAGACATGTCGGAGCCAAAGGACGGAGATCTGTGGAAAGAGCCGTAACCGGGCGAGGCAATTCCGCTCATGCCACTGCTGTTGGACAATTTCCTGGGAGCACCACCCAAGGAATGGAGGGAAGACGACATGGTGCCGTGGCCATCCTCGTCAGTCGTCTCCAGCGATGACGACAAAATGCTCGATGAGCGCTTCGGGAACAATGGTCGCGGTGGAGCCAGCCCTCCTGATGAGGGGTCATGCATATTCCGAGAGCCGGCATACTTTTCAGGAGAATGTGTCGAGGGATTCAGGCCCGATGGTGTGTAGGGTGATGGTTGAGAGGTCGGCGTTTGGTGGTATGGGAGTGTTTGCTGGAGTGGTGGTAGGTTGTGCTTGGGCTTCGGCTGTATATGCGGCTGTTGCGACTCAGCTGTCGACGACTCAGGTGGTAACTGGCGCAACCGCAGGTCTTGCGATGACGTTGACCGCAGGGCGTGCTCGGGCAGTTGCAAGGCCTGTGTCTGATGTGGCTTGGTCTCAGTCTGGATTTCAGACGCTTCCGACTCCAACATTGACACCGCGGCTTCCTTTTCGCGAGACGCTTCAGAGGCATCGTCTGGAAATGGCGATGGCGACCGGTCTCGCCGTGCGCCAAATAGACCTCGCTCCTGCTCATCCTCGGCTTCAATAATACCAGACCGCGTCCGCATCAGCCTCTCGCGCTCACGGGCGTACGCCGGTAGAGGTGGTGGGCCGGCCTCCACATCTGAGCTAGGCGAAATATGGCTCATCCGAGGGTGCATGGACCGTGGCCGCACGGCAGGGACTTCGACTTCAGGTGTTGATCCAAAACCAGTCGGCGTTATGGGCTGCGAGGAAGAAGACGATGCCTGGGTTGGATTGTTTGGGGTATCTCCATTGTCATCGTCAGAGTAGGAGTCGTATGACATGGAGCGAAAGTAATCTGAGCGACCCTGCACGACGAGAGGGCTCTTCATCGTCAGCGGCGGTAGACGGCTCACTCTCTTGTCAGCTTTTGCACTCTCCTCTAGCTGCTTTGCCAGCATGCGGCTTTGGAGGGCGAATGCATCGAGAGGTGAGAGCTCGGGCGGGGCTTCACCGGCGACATGAAGTCGCGGCGATTTAAGCGGCCGCGAGAGCGACGCCTGCGATTGCGACCGCAGGTCGATGAAATTTGGCCGTGGTGCGGACATTTTGTTGCGCAATGGCGTTCTCTGGTGACGTGGGGATGGCTTTTGTGAGGAAAAGAAACTATGGGTATCGTAAACAAACGACCCGGCCAGCCGATGAGGAAATTTAAAGTATTCTGCACGCGGCAAAAGTGTCCAACGTCTCGAGAGATCTGGCTGGCGGCGTTTGGCAAACCTGTTGTTCAGAGGACACGACCTCCTGATGGGACGGTGGGACGGTGGAGGCGAGAAAGAAAGAAAAGACGTCAGGTGTCGCCCCGATCTATTTTTGTGGCATACACACTCTCAATGCGCCTCCGTCCAGACCAACTCGAAGCGTCAACACCAGCCAAGCAAGGAGTGGACTGTCCGCGTCAAAGAAACTGCATCAGTCGTCAACGCAGGGCGGCTGGGCAAAGCAAAGAGAAACGACCGAACAGGCAGTGAAAGCGAATGGTGCATAGGGGCGTGTCAACTGTTTCGTAGATAAGAGGCCAAGAACGGTCGATTATTGTGGCTTGCTACGAATGAGTTTGACAGTCGTTGAGAAAAAAAAAGAAAAAGAAACACGTGGTGGTGTACTGGCTACCTTGTCGGCAGGTTTGCAAAATGTCGTCTTGTTGCGGTTTGTTGTTGTTTTCCGGATCAACGGCTGTCGCATGAATCTGAAGTCAGACCAAACACTGAAGAACGCAAGGCGAAAACGGTAGAATGCGTTGAGCAATGCTGATCGGCGCGCGGAAAAAAAGGAACGACTTCGAAGCGTGTAACAGACTGGTTATCGAAGGAGGCCTGTTCTGTGATAGTTTCGTGGTTTCCTGTATCAGTGACTTCGGGCAAACCGGTGCATGGCGTTTTGTCGTCCGGCGAGTTTGGTGAGTGCGACGATGGTAGTCTAGCTACAAGATGCTGGCTGAGAGGCGACAATCGAATCGAAAAAAAGGGCGTCGAAAGAGTCGTCGAATGAAAAGAGCGTGATGATGGTCTGCCAGTACGAGCGACTGAAGGGGCCGCAGAACCAGAAGAAGCGAGACGAGTGTCGTCGAGGGACGAGCGTGCGGGAGAACAAAAACCGAAGAAAAGAAGGAGAAAAGAAGGACGCAGTGCTACCAAGGTGGTGAGTCCTCCCGTCTGCCGGACCGGTATGTACTCTGCTTGTCAAAGAAAGGGGGGAAGGACAAAACGCACTTAATATGTGAGAGTAGTATTGTCGAAATGGCGAGTGCGGACGGGGAAGGGGTACGGGGGCAGGAACGGGTATGCACAACGAAGAGAGTTAAAACGGGGAGAGCAGGAAAGGCGAAGGAATGGAGAAGGAGAAACGGAGGGACGTTGGTGATGACGATCTGAAGGGACAAGGGGCGAGGGGCATCCAGACGGAGGATACGTCGTAGAAAGAGTGGTGCAAGCAAACAGAGCGCAATGTCGACAAGCAGTGGTGACAAGGTGTAGAACGCCGGCCGAGGTTAGACAAGAACGGGCAGGGGTAGCGTGCAGCGCATGACGCTCTGGAGGGCCGTTTTGTTTGAAGTGGTGATGTTTGAGCGTTCTGTGTTTATGGGAATTGACCGCCGCCAGGCAGCTATCGCTGGGCAGTATTTCGTTTGGAGCCGTGTCGCTCGGACGCAGGACGCAGTGCACGCGATCGATCGAGCAGAGGATTTGATGCGAGGGCAGATGCCTGCTGTGGTTGGATGACGGCGAGGGGGGGACAGGAAGAGGAAACGGGAGAAAAGAGGCAAAAGGCCAATGGCTAATCTTACAAAGGCCTGCGAGAAAAGGAGGACACAGGCTGCTAGGGTGTTGGGCTGTGGAATACGAGCAGCGACACAGTGGAGAGGGGAAACGTCGATCGCAACAGGAAAGAGCAAACCAGGGGGCCGCCAAGACAAACAGCAAAATTGCAAGAGTGGCTCGAGTGGCTCCAGGAAGGGCGTTGGAGGAACTGGGGACAAGGAGAGAAGGGGCGACCAACGGGAGCAATACGGGGTGCATAACAGTAGGGGCCCTGGGGCCTTGAAAAGCGGCCCCAGGGCCGTTGAGATGCGATTGCGGTGCAGGCGATGAGTATTACAGGCGTAACAGCGACTTTGGGCAGTGGGGCGCCTGCCATAATTTCGTTCCTTTCTTTCTTTGCACTCGGCCGGAGCCTGACTATTGGCAAGTGCGTGGGCCTGACCCACTTGGGGCAGGTGCGCCGAAAATAGTGTGAAGAAAAGAATACTTCGTACAATATGTACACGTCGAAGGGAAGGCTTGACGACCATGCGTGGAGAAGTGGAAGGAGTCGCAAATCATGCTCCAGTACTGAAGGGCAGCGAGAGAACATGGGGGGCGCTTGCTGCTGTCTGTGTAGTCTCGGTGGCGATTCAGTCACGACTGAGTACGACGTAAGACGTACGCTATCCTTGACAAAGTATTATTTATTGATTCTTGTGGATGTTGGCCTTCCGTCATGGGCCAGTAACGGCCAGGCTCCCGTTCTGGACTGCATTGGCGAAAGCCAAGATGCAAGAGCAGGTGGCGCACAGCCGCGCCTGAGGATGGACCAAAGATGTGATAAAATGCCATGTGCTTATGTTTGAAGGTGTTCTGGTTCGGTTATTATCCTGTCTCTTCAACATAAAAATGTGCTATCTGTCGTTGGCTCTTTCCTCGTGTAGCATAAACGGCCGATCGGCTCCGGTGGCCTTTGGGCAGTTGCTACTTTGGGACCGGGCACGGCCGCGAGCCACCAGCGCCGCTTCAGGGGCAAAGGATAAATTTAGACAGCTAACACAGTCTTCACGACGCTGCCTGTGCGACCTTATGTACAGTATGTCGTACCTTTACAGTCGACCGCTGTGCCTGCGCGTTCCAGACACCTACCCAAGGGAAATTTCACGCGTCAGTCAATTGCGTCGTGGAACCTTCTGCCGGCAAGCGCGACACAGCGTGTACGACGAGGCCGTGCCGTTGCGGGAAAGAGCAAAATGATGCGGGTCTCGCCGGGGAGGGCAGGAGCCAAGACGAACACAAAGAGGCAGCCGGTTGTCCAAGACGCGATGATTTCAATCGCCTTTCACGTTTTGTGATTTGATGTTTAATTTGGCTGCAGGAACCAAAACTGCTACGGACATTGTTTATTGGATGGAAATGTCACGGCAAGTGCATGGTGCAGGTGGTGGTGGTGGGGATTTGCCCTCCTGGACGCAGGTACGCTACTTTTCGGGGCCTGTGGCAAGGGTCCAACCAAGGTACAGTAGTGCGCGGGACAAGGAAGGCACTTTACAGGGTCGTGGCTTGAGAGAACCACTCATCTACGAATAAGCAACCAGACACACCATACGAAGAGCAAAAGCAAAACAACGGACGACTGTGCACCTGCTTTTGCGTGCTGTGCATATGCAGGCCGATCCTCATGCGGCGCAACCACCCTGTGCTGTTGACTATGCCGTGGTTCGTCTCCAGAATATTCCGTATGTGACTCCAAGGAAACAAAACGAAACGTACGCAGAAAAAAAAGGTGTGTGCAGCCAAACGACGCAAAGTGGAAAATCAGATGAAAGGGCCTTCGAAACCATGTTTGGTGGTTCGGAGGAGCTTGTCCAGATCAATACTAGCGGGCGTCGGGGTGCAGCAGCTGGAGATGATCATCAGGCGGCCAGAAAGATGATCACGAGATACGGTGCATATAGTTGTACCTGGAGACTGAATTGTTCACGGCTTGAAGATGGACGATGCACGAGAATCAGCAAACCCCAATTTTTCTTAGACAGACAGCGTCCACATCGGCCACATCATTTTAAATTGGCCAATGACTTGTAGTTGTACACACAAGACCGTCGGCATACTCACGAGACCTAGTCTCCAAGTGTACTCCATCTAGCCGTGGCCAGTGAGGATACGATACGTTGTGGTAGCATGGCAGACTTCTCTCAACACAGTCTGTATGACAGTCTACAACGTCGTCATGCAATTTTGCTGCCAGGCCAATGAGCATGTCAAAAGGACGAGAAAAACTAGGATACCAAGACAAGAATGTATTCTTCCGCGCGTCCACTGGAATGGCGAGAACGTACAAAGTACAATGCAATCTCACCTCACGACATCCAAAACGCGCCGATGACCAACAGGACGTGAATGGCAGCAGTCAACAAAAGAAGGGTCCAAAAACCTGTTTCAGCTTGTTTTGTGGAGCGCGACACAAGAGGATGAGACCAGGTGGGAAAGATAGTGGGACAGCAGTGTAGATCCAATTTGCGATACCGCATGGTTACGTAGCAAACAAAAATTGCATGCGCGGATTTGAAAAGGCTGCTTCGGTGATGTAATGTTGACCTCAACCACCCTCGTGTCACTCTGTGTCTACAGTACCGAGAGTACGTTCTTTCAGCAAAATAAAACGATATATTCACTCTCTTTTCATAACCCAATAACAGCGACAAACGACAAAAGAAAAGGATCCCAGCCTGAACGCCTTGGGGAATGCATGCAACCCAAAAACCACCAAATATAACACGATCACCGTGAAACTAGACCCTCACATCCCGCTTTGTACGGTTTGTGTCTTGTCAACCCACACTGCTCGCCACAACGACGCCTGTCTCTCTCGCTACAAGTCCTTAGACCGCAGTTTCTTCAGCCGAGTCGCACCCTCAAAGACAGTCCGATCCACCGCGGCAGCGACAGTGAGCGTTCCGCCGATAATGGCACACAGGCCGGCCAGGAAGCCCGCAAAAGTCTTGGCCCGCTCCTCACGGTTGACAACCTTCATCGGCGAGATATCCTGCAGAAAACGTTAGCAAAAAAAGCCAAAAACATAAACAGCACAACAAAAGGGGGGGGAGATACGTCAGGCGACCAGAAACAGAAAACATACATAGCTAAAGAATACGCCGGGAATGCCACCTCGGGCGTGCATGCGCTCCTTGTGGCCCTCGGCCGCATCGTCGCCGCCCTGCAGGCTCCGCTTGTGGCTCGTCACCGAGTACTGATGCGTCTCAACGCTGCCGTCGGCCAGCACGCCGTAGGAGCCAACGTCCGAGTCGGTGGACCGGTCGTCGTGCATGTATCCTCGGAACGTCTTTTCCCAGCCCAGCGCCAGGTACGACGTCGGCACGATCTTGACAAAGTACATGTAGTTGAAGTTGGGGTCCGTGGTCTCCTGGACCACGCCGTCGAGTGGGTTGACGTGGTGGTTGGTCCACGGCAGCGCATTGGTCGACGACGACTTGCCGCCGTTGCCGCCGCCCAGCTTCTTGACAATGGCCTCGGGGATCTGCGGACCGAAGCGCAGCGCGTGGACAGTGTGCGTGAACGAGTGCATCTGCGGCACCGGCATGTCCCAGTAGTTCTTGAGGTCGTGCACGTGCATGTTGCCGTTGCTGAAGCTGCGGCCGGGCGCAATGTGGAAGTTGCCGACGACCTTGTTCACGCGCAGGGAGCCCTCGATGCGGCAGCCCTCGTGGCGCTGCTCGTCGAGGCGCTCGGCAAAGTGCTCGCGCTCGCACTGCTCGACGTTCTCGCCGCGGCCAAACGCCCACGAGGAGGCGGCGTACGCCTCGCGCACCTCGTCACACGTGTTGCAGCAGCCCGGCTTGGCGGCGTGCGCAGGCGCCTGAGCACCGTAACAGGGGCCGCAGTAGTTCGGGTCCAGGTGCGACGCCACCTCGTCGGCGGCGTGCAGGTTGAGGTCCTTGGCGTCGATCTCGGCGCCACCCTCGTGCTGCGGCTTGAGGCGGACCATGCGCACGCCATGCTGGACGCCGTGCTGCTGTTCGCCTGACACATCCATGACGTCGAGCGTCAGCAGCTCGCAAGGGATCTTTGGGAAGGTGATGTTGAGGTGGATCTCCATGCGCTCGCCACGGCCCTTGTCGACAACCAGCTCCGGGTGGACGACGATGCGCCGGTAGTCAATCCACTCGCCCCAGGCCAGGTAGAGCACGACGATCAGCGAGACGATAGTGACGATGCCGCCCGAGGTGGTGCGGATGCGGGCATCCTCCACGGTCTTGGTGAAGGCATCAAGCCTTGTGAAGCGGGACTTGGCCGGCATGGCGCTGGTGCTGTTCGCAGGAAAGCAAAGTCGGAGGGGTGGTCGGCAACGAACAACAACTAGCAAATTTGTTCCAAAAGGAGTCGAGAGTAGGAAATCACGGGGGATCGATTGGACGGTGGCAAAGGGAGCGAGATCGACAATCGAGAGGCTGGCGGTAAACGGGTCGCGCAGTCCCAAGAAGGCTATCGCTAGAGAGCCACGGGGATGGGGCCTGGGTCGAAGAGACGATGACTATGAAAGAAGTAAAGAGAGGCGTTCCCAGCAGAGCGTCTTGGTCGTCAGCGTTCTCGACTGTGCAAGCGCCTCGTTGTTGTCGCAAGGAAGGACGGAGGTCAAAGGGGGTCCGCTGGTCGGCGAGGGTTGTAGGGCGAAACAATTGGCGGACGCAAAAGGCCACCTCACGTTTTAATTCCGCCTTAACTGCTTTCCAGCAACATTCCCCCAAACTGGTCTCCACTCGGCACCCATTTTGGGACAAGCCCAGGAACCGGCGACAGGTGGCAGGGGAAGGCGCGACGCGGCTGAACATGGCTAAAAGCCCCGGAAAGCGGCCATTGTTTTTCCGTTCTGGGGAGCTGAGACAGGACCGAACCTACCTGTAACGCGCTGTAAGTCGTTGTCTGTGTGGCATATGCCTCTGCAAAAGCTGTAATTAACGGCTGCCACAATTTTAGTCCAATCAAGCTCCAGGCCTTATGCCTGGCTGCAGTAGCTTCCTCAGCACCCAAAAGATGCGCCTCGGGGCTTCACCCCGCTACAGGCCCACATTTACACCCCGTCTAGGAAGGTGGTTACTTCGCCGGCAGAGAAAGAACGGCCGACACCACCATAGACTTCGGGTAAGGGCACGACATTAAACATTGTAAGACGGCGGAAGGATCAGGTGCGTATTTCGGGTTGTCGACTGCGTCTGTCGCATCCTTTGGACGACAGTCTGACTCCGCTGCTGCATGATGGTATGAGTCAAACCGGCATGATAATCTTACGGGAAGCAGACGCGACATAAAGCAGCCGCTCTCAGGCATATATATTCTCATGACAAAACCAGAGACTCAGGACATATCATTTACCTCATTTACATCCTTCTGGACGTTTGCTTAGAACGCCCGCTCTTCTTCTTCTTCTTCATCATCATCATCATCATGGCAGACTCGGACGCCGTCTTCCCCACGACGCCCATCCTTCGTCTCGAGCACTGCGTGCTCCGGCCGTACCATGTCTCGGACCTCGAGCCCATGTGTGCCGCCGCCAACGACCCCGATATCGTCCGCTACATGCGCGATACGTTTCCCTATCCGTACGATCGCGAGGCCGGTCTGAACTGGTTGAAGATTTGCAAAGCAGAAGGCTTGCCAGAGGAGGACGAGCCAGCGTCGGCCGCACCAGCATCCACAGCAGCATCCAAACCAGAGGTCCCTCGGCCTGAGCTCACCGCTGCCATCTGCCTGCTGGACGGTACGTTTGTCGGCAGCACAGGCCTCCATGTCGTCGGCCGTGACGGCACCGAAAGGTACACGCGCGAGCTTGGCTACTGGATTGGCAAGGCACACTGGGGCCGCGGGCTCGCGACAGAAGTGGCGGCCGGGCTGGGCCGGTGGGCGCTGTCGGCGGCGAGCGGCATATTGACGCCGGATGGGCAACCGCTGCGGCGGGTCGAGGCGGGCGTGTACGGCGAGAATGCAGCCTCGGTGAAGGTGCTGGAGCGGGCTGGGTACGTCCGAGAGGGCGTGCGGCGGCAGGCGGTTGTCAAGAACGGCGCAATGCAGGACGTGGTCATCTTTGGTCTGTTGGCGTCCGACCTCAAAAAATAGGAGGTGATTGTCATGTCCCCTTTTATAACAGCGTATGGGCGACAAGAGTAAGAGGATGAACTATTTTTTTCTCTTTTCTTTAGTTCCTTTCAGTAGCAAGAAGAAAAGAACTCATTTGATACTCGAACTATATTAGATACAACGTTATCATGTCAATAAAAGAAAAAGAACACGACGGCACTTGATTGTCTTCATGCGCGGTCAAAGACGCAGAGATTGCAAACAGAGCACGATGCCGCCAGATAAAAAAACGGCTGTTTGGTGATCCGGCCTAGTATTATAGCATTTCCTGTACAGCCATTTCGATTTACTCCTGGGTCCGACTCCCAAACATCTTGATCCATGCCGCGTCGTAAGGGTCCAGCTGGACGGCGCTGGGCGGCCGCGACCGACGACTCAGGCCGCCTCCTGCGGACACGTCGTTGACAGCACGCTTGCGCTTGCCGGGCGTGATGTTGGCAGCCGTGATATTACCACAGTTGGGCCGCACAAGTTTGTTGCCAAACGTGTCTGCTGTCCAGAGAAGCACACCGTTTGTCCAGCCAAACCCCTCGACCACCGTGTACTCGCCTCCGCCGCCGGCCCCGTTTGTGGAGTTGTAGGTGTACTTCTCAAACATGGTACCGTTGTCAGCAGAGCTAAAGCCCATGAGCTGTGGCGTCAGCGACGTCGAGCCGCCGGTGGCGTACCATGTGCAAAAGGCCGAGTCAAGGTACCGCTGACCAAGGCGCAGGGCCAGGTCCCGAACGTCCTGGTAGTTCGTGTCATGGACGCCAAACGTGGCTGGTGTGTTGAGCAGTCCTTTCATCAAGACATGCTGCAGCGGCGGCCACACATTAGGCTGGTCCCATTGCTGACCGGTCATCAGATTCGTAGCGGGAATGCCTCCCTCGGTACTGTCCAGGAACGCTTTGACACGCTTAAAAGCCAGCTTGACGGCCAGCGGGTTGTTCTTGAGCTGTGCCGGCGCGGCGCCGGTCCAGAAGGGGTACAGCTGGGCGATATCGAACAGCACCTGGTAGCCGGACGGCGCCGTCTCTTCCGCTAGCAGGGTCGTGGTGTTATCTCTCGGCACATAAATATTCTGGGCTTTGGAGCTCATGTTGTAGTCAAAGTAGCTAAAAAGCGTGTCGTTCCACATCAGCTGAAACATGCCCTCGCTCCGGATTCTGGCGGCAGCGGCCCATTGTGCGGCGCCGGTCTTGTTGCCCATCGTCTGCAGGAAGCCACCAATGGTGACCTCATTCCAGTACAGGATCGAGTTGAGGTCGACGGGTAGCATGTTGTTGATGTTGAGCGAGCGCAGTGGGAAATAGGTGTCTGTGGCCGAGTCGTTAGGCCGTGCCAGCCAGCGCGTGCCATAGTCCCAGCCCGACTCGGCGCCGCTGGCCAGTTGAGCATACAGAGCCGCCTTCTGTGACGAGTTTAGAGGTGTGGTCTCCGGGTACACAGAGCCATTAGCGGCGTAGTACGACTTGTTGTTGGCGGAGACGTAGTCCTCAAGGTAGGACTCGGGCCGTGGCTGGTTGTTCAGCACCGAGTAGCTTCATTGGATTAGCTGTTGTGATGTGCAATGGGCAAAGCGTTATGGGGCGCAGTCAAAGATTTCAAAGATACGTACCGGTTCAGCGTATAGGTCTTGTTATTGGGCGCCGTAACCGAGACGGAGCGATTGGTGGTCCAGAATTCGTGCTCCTTGATCAGCAAGGGCACAGCGCGCTTGAGAATGCTTGTGTCGTTGGTGTGCTCAATGTAGATTCGGATCATCTGGGACAGCAACGGGGGCTGGGAGCGGTTGAGGTAGTAGACGCGGGCGCCATTGGGCACGAAGCCGTAGAGATCGACAAAGTCGAGGAAGTTCTCAATGGTGTTGAGTGTGATGTTGACAAAGCTGCCGCCGGTGCGCAGCAGGCCCTCGACGATCCAGTACGAGTCCCAGTAGTAGGGCTCGCGGAAGCGGCCTCCGGCCACGACAAAGGTGCGGTTGACGGGCACGAAGCTGGACTGGCAGCCGGCGCAGCTCGTGTTGCCGGTCTTGCCAGTGTACTGGCGGGTCAGGTCAGGCCAGATGTTAATGACCTTTTGGACGAACTGGTTGATCACTGTGTCGTTAATCTTGTGCAAAAACGTCGCGTTGGTGGTCAGCTCGTCCGTTGGAACACTCTCGAGCTCGCCGCCGGCCGGGGCAAAGTACGTGCCTAGATAGTCGTTGAGCTCCGTGTTGTTGCTCAGCGGCTTGGTGAGGTTGTTGAATGCTGCCACGACCTCATCCAGCGGGCGCACCGTGGGCCTGCATATATTAGTGTCGGCTTACTCAGTTTCCTTTTTGTTAGTCCAGACGTTCACGCACATGTCCACAAAGGTCTTGGAGTCCGAGAAGGGTGCCGCAAGCTCGATGCCCTTTAGTATTTCGCCGTAGCAGTAGAGGGTTGAATTGCAGGGCGCAATGACTGTTCCATTGTTGAAGAGGGCCGAGGCCGGCTGGCCCGAAAAGAGCAGCGCTCCGACGACGAGGGCAGTGGTGGTTCTCAAAGCAGAGGAGACCACGCCGCGGGGGACGAGACCGGCGGCCGCCATGGGGACAAGGCGTGGGTATCGGGGTGTAAAAGAAGATGCTGCAAATCAGATGATGTTGATGCCGGAGCGACAGAGGAAAGAAAATATGGGTCGTCGCCAAGATAGCACGACACTTTCCTACAGCAATTGACTTTGGGGAAAGAGCAACAGGGCAAGCTGCGGTGGATGTGAAGGAGCTACGTGAGCTTAGGAGGGAGCTTGAAGAGCTTCTTGCAGAGCGGGAAGGAACGTTCTTACTCAATGTATATATACCAATCGAGGCCGTTCTTGGTCCTACTTGGTAAGGGCGGGCGCAACAACAAAGGAAGGCGCGGTCCAAGTACGCAGAACAAAGGCAATAAGCGCCACTGTCATAAAATGCTGCAACTGGTCTCTCCGCAAAAGTCAGGAACAGGACCACGCAGAAATCAGAAGTTGCAGGCGAGCTGGGGCGTTATGCCGTCAGAACCTTTTCGTCCCGTCAAGCAGCGATCGCCAGACATTACGGATTTCTGGGGTAGCTTCAGTTGGTTGCATCCAAGGCCGGTGAAGGGCCGCGTGCGAGACGGTGGGCTCTCTGAGGGTGTGTCTAGATGTACACTGCGCTAGCATGCATGTCCATTTCCGTGG